ATCTTTTTAATGTGGATTACGTGAAATGGTGCTCCGGTCTAGAACGGGATTATAACCAAAATGATACTAGAAACCAGAGTGGTCCAGAGAACCAGAGTGGTCCAGAGAACCAGAGTGGTCCATGGAACCAGAGTGGTCCAGAGAGCCAGAGTGGTCCAGAGAACCAGAGTGGTCCAGGGAACCAGAGTGGTCCAGGGAACCAGAGTGGTCCAGAGAACCAGAGTGGTCCAGGGAACCAGAGTGGTCCAGGGAACCAGAGTGGTCCAGAGAACCAGAGTGGTCCAGAGAACCAGAGTGGTCCAGAGAACCAGAGTGGTCCATGGAACCAGAGTGGTCCAGAGAACCAGAGTGGTCCAGAGAACCAGAGTGGTCCATGGAACCAGAGTGGTCCATGGAACCAGAGTGGTCCACAGAACCAGAGTGGTCCAGGGAACCAGAGTGGTCCAGGGAACCAGAGTGGTCCAGAGAACCAGAGTGGTCCAGAGAACCAGAGTGGTCCATGGAACCAGAGTGGTTCAGAGAGCCAGAGTGGTCCAGAGAACCAGAGTGGTCCATGGAACCAGAGTAGTCCAGAGAACCAGAGTGGTCCAGAGAACCAGAGTGGTCCAGGGAACCAGAGTGGTACGAAGAACCCTTTTGAATCTGAATACAGTTGTCGTGGACGCGTCAACCCATCCACCAGCCCTCCCCGCCCCTCACTAGTGTACATGTTCGTGGGATAATCTTCCGTGTGAATGGCCGGGGAAGATTCAGGTGGACGGAGCCCCCCTGGACAATAATACACTTATAGCCTCTTGTTCCCCCCGAGTGTTGCCTGCGTTCCCGTGGCCGGCATCATCATGATGTAGCCTGCACCACGCTCCCCGGCTCACTCTCGGGCCTCTGGTGCCTTGTGTGTCTCTTGAAGTGATCGTTTGCAACGGTTGTTTAATGTTGCATCCGTGCGGCGGTGATGACTTGGGTACCGTTGTTATTATTGTTGCTTTCACTGGTGATTGATTATTCCTCTTATTTAATCACTTTTTCAGTCAACACGTCAGTTGCAAAAAAAAAAAAGACAACAGTCATGTGTTGCTGCTCATTGTTATTACAAATGACTGTTGTCATTTTTTTATTGCGACTGACTTGTTGATTGAAAAAGTGGAGGAATACACTAAATAAATGAATAAATAAGAGGAATACATAAGTGAAAATGAATGTAAATACAACCTGCCTCGTGTGGGCCAGTAGGTCTACTGCAATGTTCCATCTTACGTTCTTCTGTTGTAATCACCTAGTTGTGCTTGCGCGGGTTGAGCTTCGGCTCTTTGGTCCCGCCTCTCAGCTGTCAGTCAACTGGGTGTACAGGTTCCTGAGCCTACTGGGCTCTACCAAATCCACACTTGAAACTGTGTATGGAATCAGCCTCCGCCACATCACTTCCTAACACATTCCATTTGTTAACTACTTTGACACTAAAAAAGTTCTTTCTAATGTTTCTATGGCTCATTTGGGCACTCAATTTCCACCTGTGTCCCCTTGTGCGCGTGCCCCTTGCCTTAAGTTAACTAACTGTCTTTATCTATTCCCTATTAATTCCTTTGAGAATCTTGTATGTGGTGATCATGTCACTCTAACTCCTCTATCTTCCAGGGACCCGAGGTTTAATTACCGTAGTCTCTCCTCGTAGCTCATACCCTTTCAGTTCGGGTACTAGTCTGATGGCAAACCTCTGAACCTTCTCTAATTTAGTCTTATGCTTGAAGAGATATGGACTCCATGCTGGAGCTGTATACTCCAAGATTGTCTGACATATGTGGTATACAAGGTTCTGAATTATTCCTTACACAAGTTTCTAAAGGCCGTTCTTATGTTGGCCAACCTGGCATATGCCGCTGATGTTATCCTCTTGATATGGATTTCGGGAGACAGGACGGGCATGATATTAACCCCCAGGTCTTTCTCTCTCTCTCTCTGATTTTTGAAGAATTTCATCTCCCAAATGATACCTTGTATCTGACCTCCTGCTCCCTACACCTATCTGTATACACCTGTAGTTCAGTGCCTCTTGTCTGTCACCTTTTTCGTATATGGGGACTACATTAGCCGTCTTCCATATTTCTGGTAGGTCTCCCGTCTCCTGTGACCTACTATACACTATGGAGAGTAGCAAGCAAAGTGCTTCTGCACACTTTTTCAATACCACATGGTGAGATTCCGTCTGGGCCAACAGCCTTTCTCACGTCCAGATCCAACAGATCTACCTCATCTCTGGTAATTTCTAACCCTTCCAAGGCCGCCTGGTTTACTGCCACCTCTCCTACCTCAGGCACTTTACCTCTTTTTATTGTGAAGACCTCCTGGAATCTCTTGTTGAGTTCTTCACACACCTCTTTGTCATTCTCTGTGTACCTCTCCGCACCTGTTCTAAGTTTCATCGCCTGTTCTTTCACTGTTGTTTTCCTCCTGATGTGACTGTGGAGCAGTTTTTGTTCGGTTTTGGCTTTATATGCGATATCATTTTCATACTGTTTGTCTGCTTCTCTTCTCACACTGACAGTGAGTCAACACTCTGTCTGCTGACTCAAGTCTGTTGAGTAGAGGCTTGAATAATCATGCCGCCGCATTTAACAAATTAACTCTATGACCTCTCAAGGGCTCTTATATGTAAGTAAACATGTCAAGGCTCACCATGCCCGGGAACCGAACCCAGCACCAATCCGGTGTGAGCCGACACCGCTAGCATATTGGTGCGTGGTTTACTCTGGTCTCCTGAGTTTGGATTCATCAAGCATTTAAGTGACCTGTACGAGACCTGTACATCTTTCCTCGATCATGGCGGCTTAAGTTTCATTTATTAAACAAATTATAATCTCCGTAGCGCTACGAGCTCGTCCATAACAAAAATATCTTAGGTTGGGAACGACCTCTCTGCGTTTCGAAGCTGGTAAACTATTTAATACATACAGACTAAGCCGCCGTGATCGAGGAAAGATGTATAGGTTTCGTAAGTGGACACTTGGGTACTTGGTGGAGTGTAGGAGTGACGCCCGTGGGGTCCAGGCACGCTCTTCACACTCCTCTTGTTGACACTTGGGGCTTGTTTACAACCCGGTGTCTTGCTCTTTGAATTTACTGCAACTGCGCTGTGTTTACAAACATTGAACGGTTGGAAATGGCGGTAGTTGCTGTGTTAACATTTGATGCTTTAGTGTTGAACAAGCTCAGGCTGCTTCTAAACATTGTAGAATTTAAACTGGCGGTTTACTTAGAAAATGTTGCATTCCTTCCTCATCCCCTCTTACCCCCTCCCTCCCTCCCTCCCCCCCCCTCTCTCTCTCTCTCCCCCTCTCTCTCCCCCTCTCTCTCCCCCTCTCTCTCCCCCCTCTCTCTCCCCCTCTCTCTCCCCCTCTCTCTCCCCCCTCTCTCTCCCCCTCTCTCTCCCCCCCTCTCTCTCCCCCTCTCTCTCCCCCTCTCTCTCCCCCTCTCTCTCCCCCTCTCTCTCCCCCCTCTCTCTCCCCCTCTCTCTCCCCCTCTCCCTCCCCCTCTCCCTCCCCCTCCCCCTCCCCCTCTCCTCCCTCCCCCCTCTCCCTCCCCCCTCTCCCTCCCCCCTCTCCTCCCCCCTCCCCCTCCCCCTCCCCCTCCCCCTCCCCCCCCTCCCCCCCCCTCTCCCTCCCCCTCTCCCTCCCCCTCTCCCTCCCCCTCTCCCTCCCCCTCCCCCTCTCCCTCCCCCTCTCCCCCTCCCCCTCCCCCTCTCCCTCCCCCTCTCCCTCCCCCTCCCCCTCTCCCTCTCCCTCTCCCTCTCCCTCTCTCTCTCTCTCTCTCTCACACACACACACACACACACACACACACACACACACACACACACACACACACACACACACACACACACACACACACACACACACACACGACATTGGAAGACAGAAGAGTAAGAGATCACTACTTACAAAATTCTCAGAGGAATTGACAGGGTAGATAAGGATAAACTTTTTAACACGGGTGGTACGCAAACAACGGGGACACAGGTGGAGACTGAGTACCCAAATGAGCCGCAGGGACGCTAGAAAGAACTTTTTCAGTGTCAGAGTAGTTAACAAGTGGAATGCATTAGGCAGTGATGTGGTGGAGGCTGACTCCATATACAGTTTCAAATGTAGATATGATAGAGCCCAGTAGGCTCAGGAATCTGTACACCAGTTGATTGACGGTTGAGAGGCGGGACCAAAGAGCCCGAGCTCAACCCCCGCAAGCACAACTAGGTGAGTACAACTAGGTGAGTACACACAAATAGTAGAATGGTCGACGTTCTTTACTCACAATCGTGGATCCCGAGTTCGCTTCCTGGAGAAACGAAAATGGTTGGGCACTTTTCATTTCACGTGTTGCTTCTGTTCACCTATCAGTAAATATGCAGATTAATAAAATACAAATAATAACCTAAAAATATAAAAGAAGCCCAGACAGCGTCGTAGACAATTACAGCTTCACTTTGGGGCCATTTCTGCTCGCTCTCCAGAAAGCATTAGTATCCCCGAGATCAATTATCCTTATTATTTGGCTCGCCTGGCTGAGTCCAAGGACACACTCATCCCCGCTCCCTCAAGCGTGCATAAACAGATATAAAGTGCGTGGGACTTGAACAACTTTGATTACCTTCGGTGCCTTGGTTCACGCGGGCGCGTCCACTCGCACTTCCTCTATAACAAAACCCTCGTAAAACATGCAGTGTACTTGACATACTTATTTGTATTTATGTGAGGAGTTCTTGAACACTGTCCCCTTCTTCCCTAGCACCATTACCCTCAGGAGAAAAACAGAACCCCCAAGTTACCTGTAATGGTTCTTAACCCCCCAAGCAGTGTCTGGAGGATACCTGATCAACCAGGCTGTGTCTCATACGTCAGGCTGCGAGCAGCCGCGTCCATCAGCCTAGTTGGGCTTGAGCGATGACCGGGCCGCGGGGATGCTAAGCCTCGAAACCAACACAAGGTAACCACTAGGTAGTTCGGACTGACCTGATGGAATCGACGTACTTCCTCTCCATCTTGAGCGCCGCCTGGTGTTGGGTGGTGGAGTAGGAGCGGTAGGCGGAGGACTGCTCGGTGGAGTACTCCATGTGGGCCTTCTCATCGTAGAGCTCCGTGTGCTGCCAGCGACGTGCGCCCGGCTGCGAGTGGGGACATCGGTGCCGCCTGGAAGGTTAACATGAGGGGTTAGAGTCGCGTGGGAGGACCTGATCTGGGACGTGGTGGGGATTGCTGTGGGAGGACTTGGTGTGGGAGAAATGGGACGGAACGATGCACTGGTTGGAGGGGGGGGTGGTTGGAGGGGGGAGGTAGGCGAGATGAGAGGGAAGAGACGACGTTGAGAAGGCGTGAAGTGAGAGACAGGACATAGAAGGCAGCGTTAGGAACACATTGAGTAACGTTGAGTACACACAAGTTAGCATGGCATCAAAGGCATAAAATATAATGGAGTGTGAAATAAAAAGGACATGTAAAATAAAAGTGGAAGTTTCATAGTACAGTTGTGAATTTATTTATTTATTTATTTATTTATTTATTTTTTTGCGGGGTGACTTGGAGCCAGCAAGGGCAGGTGTTGCCCACTTGAGTGCGCAGACCAGAAAGTCACGGCATTGGTGGGCTGTGAATTCAGTGGGCAGACGGAACGAGACATGTAGGTATCTGGCCGTCGGGTGGCTCAGTACCCGTGGACCAGCTGGGCTGTCATGACAGACCTGTGGTAGAGCATGATGGCTCTGCTCCCTCACCAATTTTTAAACTGTGATGAAGCAACAGTACATCATCACCGGGACTCGAACTCGGGGGAGTCTGTATTGCTAGGCTGTGAATGTGTGAGGTTGCGTATATAACAAAAATAATGCATGACATAGATAATCAGAATCTAAAACTATTCGCAAAAACTGATATAAATCGTTACTATTATGGCTGGATTGAACAGTTTTACAACACTGTAAATCAAACGTACATTTTCACACATAAATTGAATAACATTTGATACACAAATTGAAAGGTGATATATTTCGTTGGTTAAACAATGCGTGCTATTGGAGAAAGGGGAAAAGGGGGTATATATATGGCAGACTGAAGAAGGCGGTGAAGGCACCCAGAGCTTGCAGGAAGGAGAGAGCCAGGCGAGTAGGCGCCGCAGGTGACTAAATTAGGAGGTAGAGAGAAAGGAGTGTAGGTCACGAGAGAAAGCTAGGCGACCTTCACAGGTGAGTGGTATCAACACCTCAGATAAACAACTGGTGTCACATCTGTCTTCTTATTGTATTTCTCGTCATCTCTGTATATCTGTGTGATCTAGTATACCTAGATAGGATACAAAGGTTTCACCAAATGTGACAGTGAACTAGAATAATCTAAAAAATTCAAATTCTACAATTTTATTCATAAATATCTGTACATTTCTAACTGAGTTTACACAAAATTATGATTTTTTGTGATATATAAATATATCACCTGATTTCTGATTTCTAGCTGACGCCAGCGCCAGGATTCATCAAGCATATGCGTCTCCACTAACGAAACCTGTACATCTTTCCTCAATCATGGCAGCTTTGTTTGTATTTATTAAACGGTTTGCAAGGTTCGAAATTTTACGGCCTAAGATTATTGTTGTTATAGACAATCTGGTAGTGCTTGGGTGCTCATAAACTGAGTAATCAATGTAAACAGAGCCGCCATGATTGAAGAATGATGCAGAGGTTTCGTAAGTGGTCGTGTAAATGCTTGATGACTCCTGGCCGTGAATGGTGTTGCTGTGAGGTGACATAACAGAGTACATGTGATGCTGGAGTAAGAATGTGGACATTGTTAAAGTAAGATGCGAAGCGTCTGAAGCAGTGATCTTACTGATAATTTGTAATGACTGTAACTTGCAACTTTAAATAGTGTACTATTTTAAACTAATTCCATAATAAATCAACAAATTTATACTGAGTAATATCTCCAACTATTCCCGTAATGATTTAATAATATTTTTTTTAGACAGCCCTATTTATATAAATAGGTCTGTCCATGCTATTATATTAGAAGAGCAGTTAGAGGACAAACTCCATATGAGCCAAGGTACAGATGCCTCTCCCTGGCCACAGATCAAGTGGGTACTGAGGTATTTATGTTTATATTGCGATATAGAGCGTCACTTGAACCTGTGTTTGAACAACAATAGTGTTGGTGTATTTCCAAGGCTGAGAGGCAGTTCGTTCCGTATATGGTAAACCCCTGAAGTGGAGAAGTTTACATTGTGGAGGAGATGAGTGGGAGTGTCTGATCCAGTCTCAATCTTGGGTGGTGTTGACCATTTTCTCTCCGCGTCATTGTCAAGTATATTAAATATATAAACAATTCAAAGATCACAGGAGTTCATGTTTTTGAACACTTGTTAGTCTCAGCTGCCACAGGATGGGTACGGGGTCCATAATAAACAAAGTAAACCAGCTGAATCACAGGGGGGGGGGGGAGTGAAACTAGGGTCACAGGGTGAGAATAACGCCGGCGAGGGCTGAAGTGCGCGTGCGCGGCGCTGTGTAAATACCTGTGGATCTTTTATTAGCGCCTTCACTATAAATGTACTGCGGGGAGAGCTCAAAATGTTAACTACTCACTGCATTTTTTTATTTGTAATTAAATAAAAAAAATCATGTTTATTTGAAGATAACCTGATAGCTTCACTCATATGGGCTACCGGATACACTGTTGAACTGATGAGTTAGCCAAAGCCTGTGATCTTCAAGAGGGAGTTGATTACCACTCTCAGCAGCCCGCGGGCAATAATATACCGGGAAAACAAAAATTTGCAACAAAATTTAGTAGTCATAAAATAAGGTTAAATTCACATTATTTATTCCATCTGTCATCATACAACTGTGGCAGGGAAAAGCCACATGTCTATGAGTCGCCCAATAGTTCATATAATCTATTTTTGTCGGGGATAGAAGTGGACTCCATACCCATCCTGTGGGTGGTAGTAAACCCCATACCCATCCTGTGGGTGGTAGTAAACCCCATACCCATCCTGTGGGTGGTAGTAAACCCCATACCCATCCTGTGGGTGGTAGTGGACCCCATACCCATCCTGTGGGTGGTAGTGGACCCCATACTCATCCTGTGGGTGGTAGTGGACCCCGTGTGTGTACTCACCTAATTACCCACCTAATTTGTGTGCGTGTGCGTGTGCGCGTGCGCGTGTGCGTGCGCGTGCGCGCGCGTGTGTGTGCGTGTGTGTGTGTGTGTGTGTAGTACATCGGGCACTACCACTGAGAATGGGCAAACTCGTCCTCCCCGGAGACCGTGTCGGCAAGAGGGATGAAGCCGCCTTTGTTTAAGAGGTGAGTTGTTTGTTGTGGGTGAGTCAGTGAACTGGGAGGCAAGCTTGCCGTGGCAACTGTGACTGCCGTACCCATTTAATGGCAACGACACGCAATTTGCATTGACGGCTTTTATTGGCTAGTTCCAAGAGGAGAGGAAGGGGGGCGGCCATGTTGTTCTAGACGTCAACACGTACTCTGTGGCTGGGTGCTTGCGGCTCTGCACGCTGTGGCCTAGTTTATCTCTGGTGCATATGTTGCTGTGGCTCACCCCTACGGTGGCTGTGGAGGCGACCACCGTCTTCCACACCACCACCACTCTTGAGGTCGTGGCGAGAGGAACAGGGAATAGGGAAGGGCACATTAAATTGGGAGAGAATAGAAGGGGACAAAAGTGGAAGCTGGAGATGCAGATGTGTCGAAGAAATGTAAGGAAATTCTAGTACCCTGTACGGCTGGTCAACAAGTGGAATGACCTGAAAGAAGAAGTTGTGGAAGCCACCTCCATATAGATTCGACAAATATTTCGATCAAGATCATTAAATTGTAACGCAACAGGTAGAGCAATACTAGTAGGAGGCGCATAAAGAGCTAGACATCACTTTCCAGTAGTCACGGATAGGGAAGCACACATGCGCACACGCACACATGTGCACACACACATGGAGGGACATACTCTTAAAAACAAAGGATTGGGCATAAAACATTTAACCGGCACAAAACTACCAGTCCCAACTACCAGTGTGTAGTAGGACACACAGAGTCCGACCCAAGGATACCAAGCACACACACCCTAACAGCCACGCATGCTTAACAAAACAGCCAACAATATCAACAAAAACCTCCTTCAACAGCCACTGAGGCAAGAGAGCAGTTTCGACACAGTGTAACGAGCTATTGCTTAAGGTTGGGTCTTCACTAGCCCACCCCGAGAGCCGCGGCTTGTGTCTATAAAAGCCTACCTGTTGGATGAGTTCCCCGTCCATGTTGGGCTCATGCCACTCTCCAACACTCCGTTTAAAGAGCCGGCTGATTTATGTGGGTGGGGGGGGGGCATGTTGTGGGTGAGGGGGTGCACGGTGTGGGTGAGAGGGGGTGCACGGTGTGGGTGAGGGGGTGCACGGTGTGGGTGAGGGGGTGCACGGTGTGGGTGAGGGGGTGCACGGTGTGGGTGAGGGGGTGTGACTTGTGTAGAATGTTTTGAAAGAGTCCTTGTTAAAATTTGTTAACACCATTTTTTTCCGCTTGCTATAGTGGTGACGGTGATGGCTGCTCGCCGCTCAGTCACTGATGACCGCTGGCGGCACTGCTTGTCTGCCCGTCTGCCTCCCTGCCCGTCTGCCTCCCTGCCAACCTGCCCCCCTGCCCGTCTGCCTCCCTGCCAACCTGCCCGTCTGCCTCCCTGCCCGTCTGTTAACCTGCCCGCATACTGGCTTTTTCCTCCCCCCCCCCCCCACGTCTTCCCACACTGTTACCGTGGCTACTTGCTACTTGAATTCCTTGTTATCTCCAAACTTTCGGTCTTTTTGCTTCTGTACCTGCCAGTCTTCCATGTTAGCTTACTACCTTACATTCCTCCACACCTGCTTGCCTGCCTGCCACTTTTCACGCGTTGAACCTGCAAAAACTGGGTGTAGTTGAGCCCCCACACATACTTTCAAGAATAGGTATGGCAAATATCAACAAAGTCGCGAACTATCGCGAAATAGGAGGCCTGGTCGAGGACGGGGTCGCGGGGACACTAAGCCCCGAAAACACCTCAAGGTAAGGTAAGGTAACTATAGATATAGGCGACCGGTGACTGAAAGGCGGGGTCCAGGAGCTGAACCTTTCCCTGTAAGAAGATATAGATGA